GGTAGTTTTTTTGCTCTGTCATGTTATTTCTTTTTTTTTCTCTCTCTCTCTCTCTCTCTCTCTTTACACACACAGAGATTTCAGTGATCCTCAGTGATATTAATAACAAGAATGTCCATGTTGTCGTGCCGTGTGTTGTGTCTATTGGCCATTGTGTTCTGCTGTGTGGGTGTGGCTCATGCTGCTGCTGCTGCTGCACCAGGTCATAACGTATATCTTGAGCAGGTGAAAGAGAAGGCTAAGGAGACTTTGAGACTGAAGGAGGAGTGTGTGAAAGTCACCAACGCTGCTCGAGAGGCCGCGCATGCAGCTCAAGAATTTGTTGATACCACTCAGGTTAATCTCGAAACAATTGCTGCTGACCCAGAAGAGGTGGAGAAAACGAAGAGTAAAGGTGATGAACTCTCTGATAAGGCAACGAAGGCTGCAGAGAAAGCAAAAGAATTGGCCAATAAAACTACAACCAGTGCGAAGGAAACTGAGAAGAATGACTTCTGTTTTGCTTCAGATGAAGTAAGTACGGCAAGGCAAGCAGTTAAAGATGCACAAAACGCGGTACAGGCTGCTATAGCAGCTGGAGATCTGGCGCACGCTTCTGTTAATAAAGTGAAAGATGTCCTGCAGAAACTCGACGCCGCAGTTGCTGCTGCCAAAGAGAAGGAGAAAGAAAAACAAGTGGAGCCTCAACCACAGCCACAGGAACAGACAAAGGATCCATCTCTTGGTGAGCAGCAAGGCCATACAGAAGGAAATCAGGCGGAGCAAACACAAGAAAAACAAAAAGAGAAACAAAAACAGCACTACCGTTCTACTGTTACTATTAATATCCACGGAGATAATCTTGATGCCTTACTCAATGGTGCAGCGAATAACAGTGGTATGGCATTAAATGACGGCAGCAGCAGCCCTGCGTTACTGCGTGTTCCACTCCTGCTGCTGCTGCTGCTCTCTGTGCTGGGCTGCATGGCCGTGTGCTGAGCACTGTGCTGGGGTCCATCCAGAGAGTGTGGGTAATTACTTGTTTACTGTTAATAATAATATAATTGCTACTGTATTCAGTACACTGGGCACTGAGAAAATTAATTCCTTTGACACCCACTGGGCCAGGGTGCATCAATTTGTGTGGAAATACCTAATCTCTTTTCTTTTTTATACTTGTAAGCAGAGCATTGCTGTGCACATTGTGGTGTATATCACTCTGCAATTGTGTGATTCTGGTAAATGATATCTCTTTTTCTTTTTTATTTGCTTTTACATTATATCCGAATGAGGTAACGTTACAGTTTGTTTGTTTGTTCCTCTGGGGACACTGCAAATTGTAATGGGGACAGGGAGAAATCAACACAGAGAGAGAGGTTTATACATTATCCGTTTACTGTTGTTTTTGTGTGTGTGGCTATCTCTGCAATGTTACCAAATAATATTCAATTTGTATACAATCATTTATATATAATCTTTTCTTTTTTCTTGTGGAATTGGATGATTCTTTATTTTGTTTGAATAATGGGTGTTTACCCTAATGTGTCTATTTCGTTTACGCTCATGCTTGACTCGATATGTGTGTGTGTGTAGTAATAGTGGTGTACTGGTGTTTTGCTCTCTCTCTCTCTCTCTCTCTCTTTACACACACAGACACAGATTTCAGTGATCCTCAGTGATATTTAATGACAAGAATGTCCATGTTGCCGTGCCGTGTGTTGTGTCTGTTGGCCATTGTGCTCTGCTGTGTGGGTGTGGTTCATGCTAATGCTGCTGCACCTGCTGTTTTAACAGGTCACGAGGAACGTATTAAGGAAGCACAAGAGAAGGTTAAGGAGACTTTGAGACTGAAAGAGGAGTGCGAGAAAGTCATCAAAGCTGCTGAAGATGCCGCGTATGCAGCTCAAGTATTTGCTGTTACCACTGAGAATAATCTCGAAACAATTGCTGCTGACCCAGAAAAGGTGGAGAAAACGAAGAGTGAAGGTCGTAAATTCATTGATAATACAACGCAGGCTGCAGAGAGAGCAAAAGAAGTGGCCGACCAAACTACAGCCAGTGCAAAGGAAACTTACGATATAAGCGTACTTTTTGTTGGACAAGAGGAGGAACAAATGAAGGCAGAGGAAGCAGCTGAAAATGCGGAAAACGCGGCACGTGCTGTTAAAGAGGCTGAGGATCGGGCGATCACTTACGTTAAACTTGTGGAGGAGGCCATTAAGAAACTCGATGCCGCAGTTGTTGCTGCCAAAGAGAAGGAGAAGGAAAAACAGGTGGAGCCTCAACCACAGCCACAGGAACAGACAAATGAAACATCTCTTCCACCCACGAATGCTACAATAACGAATGGCATCACACGAAATGACGGCAGCAGCAGCCCTGCGTTACTGCGTGTTCCACTCCTGCTGCTGCTGCTGCTCTCTGTGCTGGGCTGCATGGCCGTGTGCTGAGCACTGTGCTGGGGTCCATCCAGAGAGTGTGGGTAATTACTTGTTTACTGTTAATAGTAGTAATAATAATAATACAATTGCTACTGTTTTTTTGTATACTGAACACCGGGGAAACTAATTCCGATGACACCCATTGGGCTAGGGTGCATCAATTTGTGTGGAAATACCTAATCTCTTTTCTTTTTTGTACTTGTAAGCAGAGTATTGATGTGCACATTGTGCTGTGTCTCACTCTGCAATTGTGTGTTTCTGGTAAATGATATCTCTTTTTTCTTTTTTATATGCTTTTACATTCTGTGTGAATGGGGTAACATATAATTTGTTTGTTCCTCTGGGGACAGAGCAAATTGTAATTCGGACAGGGAGAAACCAACACATAGAGAGAGATTTATGCATTATCCGTTTTTTATTGTTTTTGTGTGTGTGTGGCTATCTCTGCAATGTTACGAAATGATATTCAATTTGTTTATAATCTTTTCTTTTTTATTTGGGATTTTATGGGACTACATTTTGTTTGAATAATGGGTGTTTTCCACTAATGTGTATAGTTCCTTTACATTATTGTTTGATTCCATGTGTTTATGTGTGTATGCGGTGTATTAATGTTTTTCTGTTTTCTTTTTCTCTCTCTCTCTATGTCTTTACACACACACATACAGACACAGATTGCAGTGATCCTCAGTGATATTAATAACAAGAATGTCCATGTTGTCGTGCCGTGTGTTGTGCCTGTTGGCCATTGTGCTCTGCTGTGTGGGTGTGGCTCATGCTGCTTCAAGTCACACAGAATTTGTTAAGGAAGCACAAGAGAAGGTTAAGGAGACTTCGGGACTGAAGGCGCAGTGCGAGGAAGCCACCAAGGCTGCTCGAGAGGCCGCGGATGAAGCTCTTGTTTTTTTTGCTGCCACTAATAAGACACTCGAAACAATTGCTGCTGACCCAAACGAGGTGGAGAAAACGAAGAGTAAAGGTCGTAAACTCATTGAGAAGGCAACGCAGGCTGCAGAGAAAGCAGAACAAGTGCGCGCCAAAACTTCAGAGAGTGCAACTCAAACTGACGGTAAAGTCGAGCTTTTTCTAACAGGAGTTGAAAAAGAGAACGCATTGAAAGCAGTTGTCGAGGCAGAAAGCGCGGCACGTGATGCTGTAGAACATATCGACGCTGCGAAAACTCATGCTGAACTTGTGGAGGGTGTCCTGCAGAAACTCGATGACGCAGTTGCTGCTGCCAAAGAGAAGAAGAAAGAAGAGATGAAGCAGGAGAAAGAAAAACAGGTGAATTCTCCAGCACAGCCACTCTCTAAGGATCCATCTCTTGGTGAGCCACAAGGCCATACAGAAGGAAATCAGGCGGAGCAAACACAAGGAAAACAAAAACAACACTACCGTTCTACTGTTACTATTAATATCCACGGAGATAATCTTGATGCCTTACTCAATGGTGCAGCGAATAACAGTGGTATGGCATTAAATGACGGCAGCAGCAGCTCTGCGTTACTGCGTGTTCCACTCCTGCTGCTGCTGCTGCTGCTCTCTGTGCTGAGCTGCATGGCCGTGTGCTGAGCACTGTGCTGGGGTCCTTCCAGAGAGTGTGGGTAATCACTTGTTTACTGTTAATAATAATAATAATAATAATAATAATAATACAATTGCTACTGTGTTCAGTATACTGAACACCGAGAAAATTATTGCTGACGACACCCAGTGTGCTAGGGTGCATCAATTTGTGTGGAAATACCTAATCTCTTTTCATTTTTTATACTTGTAAGCAGAGCATTGCTGTGCACCTTGTGCTGTGTATCACTCTGCAATTGTGTGTTTCTGGTAAATGATATCTCTTTTCTTTTTTTTTGCTTTTACATTATTTGTGAGCGGGGTAACATATAATTTGCTTGTTCCTATGGGACATTGCAAATTGTAATGGGGACAGGGAGAAACCAACACAAAGAGAGATTTATGCATTATCCGTTATTGTTTTTGTGTGTGTGGCTATCTCTGCAATGTTACCAAATGATATTCAATTCGTTTATAATCTTTTTTTTTCTTATGGGATTGGATGGAACTTCATTTTGTTTGAATAATGAGTGTCTTCCTTAATGTGTCTATTTCCCTTGCGTTCTTGACTCCATATGTGTATGTATGTGTAGTAACAGCGGTGTATTAATGTTTTTCTTTTTATTTCTCTTTCTCTCTCTCTCTTTACACACACACACACACACAGATTTCAGTGATCCTCAGTGATATTAATAACAAGAATGTCCATGTTGTCGTGCCGTGTGTTGTGTTTTTTGGCCATTGTGCTCTGCTGTGTGGGTGTGGCTCATGCTAATGCTGCAACACCACGTGTCTCAAAACATGTGAATGAGGAAGTACTTAAGCCGGTGGAAAAGACCAAGCAACTGAAGGCGGAGTGTGAGAATGCCACCAACGCTGCTAAAGAAGTTGCGGATGAAGCTCAACGATTTGTTAATACCACTCTAAAGGAACTCGAAACAATTGCTACTAACCCAGAAGAAGTGGAGAAAACGAAGAGTGAAGGTCAAAAACTCATTGAAAAGGCAAGGAAGGCTGAAAGGGAAGCAGAAAAAGTGGCCGAACAAACTACAAACAGTATAAAGGCAAGTGAAGACATAGTCGGGGTTCTTCGTGATATAAATGAATATCCCGACACGGTAGTGGCAGCACAGAAAGTAATTGAAGATGCATTCCTCGCGGTAGATGTTGCTTATGAACATGCTGACAAAGCGCGAATGTGTGGTGTTGAAGTGAGGATAGTCCTGCAGAAACTCGAAGCCGCAGTTGCTGCTGCCAAAGAGAAGAAGGAAGAAAAACAGGTGGAGTCTCAGGCACAGGAACATACAAATAAAACATCTCTTGATGAGCAGCAAAGCCATACAGAAGGAAATAAGACGGAGCAAACACAAGAAACACAGGTGGAGACTCAGCCACAGGAACAGACAAATGAAACATCTCTTGGTGAGCAGCAAGGCCATACAGAAGGAAATCAGGCGGAGCAAACACAAGAAAAACAGGTGGAGCCTCAACCACAGCCACAGGAACAGACAAATGAAACATCTCTTGGTGAGCAGCAAGGCCATACAGAAGGAAATAAGACGGAGGAAACACAAGAAAGACAAGAACATCCTTCTCGTTCTAATGCTACTATTAATATCCACGGAGATAATCTCGGTCCCTTACTCAACGGTGGAGCGAATAACAGTGGTATGGCATTAAATGACGGCAGCAGCAGCCCTGCGTTACTGCGTGTTCCACTCCTTCTGCTGCTGCTGCTCTCTGTGCTGGGCTGCATGGCCGTGTGCTGAGCACTGTGCTGGGGTCCATCCAGAGAGTGTGGGTAATTACTTGTTTACTGATAATAATAATAATATAATTGCTACTGTGTTTTTGTACACTGAGCACCAAGAAAATTAATCCCGATGACACCCAGTGAGCTAGGGTACATCAATTTGTGGGGAAATGTTTAATCTCTTTTCTTTTTCTATACTTGTAAGCAGAGTATTGCTGTGCTCCTTGTGCTGTGTTTCACTCTGCAATTGTGTGATTCTGGTAAATGATATCTCTTTTTCTTTTTTGTTTGCTTTTACATTATATCCGAATGAGGTAACGTTACAGTTTGTTTGTTTGTTCCTATGGGGAAACTGCAAATTGTAAATTGGACAGGGAGAAACCAGCACATAGAGAGAGGTTTATGCATTCTCCGTTATTATTACTGTTTTTGTGTGTGTGGCTATCTCTGTAATGTTACCAAATGGTATTCAATTCGTATATAATCTTTTTGTTATTATTTGGGATTGGATGGAACTTCATTTTGTTTGAATAATGGTTATTTTTCCTAATATGTCTATTTCATTTACGTTCTTGCTTGACTCCATATGTGTGTGTTTGTGTATGGTCATGGTGATTTACTGCTGATTTTCTTTTTTTTCTCTCTATCTACATACAATCTCTTTAATCAGTACATACATTTCACTAGAAGCACAGTTACAGTAGGATATTCAGATCCGGAAAGAGAAGCCGAAGCACAACAGCACAAAGAGGAATTGCCTGATATGGAAGAGAATCAAATATGCACCACCGTCTCCGTTCTCATGTAATTCTTCTTTTTTCTATTTTTCTTTTTTCTGTTCTTTCTACTGTGGCAGGATGGACGACGGCGGGATCTTTACAACCAAACTGTGCGGCCTCATATTCGCAGGCGGTTGATCTCGACAACCCCAACGTCCTTTCTGGCGCTATTGGGACCGTACGCACGTATGAGGGATGTTTTCAGCGACATCGTGATCGATTTGTTGTTGTGTCCCCACAACGAACTACGCCGTCGCCAAAGTTATTTCCATCGTGTCAGTATTTTCTACACCGAAATAAAACTCTGACAATGTATTATCTAGTCTCAGATATTTGTCGTATGGGTCATAGTACAAAGGATGCACCTCATTTAATGACGTTTCTTATTGATTACTTTGCCCCATGTTCACTTCTCTGTAGAAAGAATTCAACACGTCTTCGTGTACAACTGAAAATTCTCTATGGTAATGTGTGTGCATCTTATCCGGTGCCAAAGTTAGATAGGTCGTTTAGAACAGTAGTCTTGGGATGGTTTCAAGCCTTGCTTCGTAGTGATTCACCTTTTATGAAATTAATGTCTTCATGGGGTATTGATTTTGTTACTTCACGTTTACCCACTGGTAATGTAAAAATACTTGCTGAAGAAATTTTTTACAAGGAAGCAATGCAAGAGAAAGGTTTTTTCTGTCCTCGTGGAGATCAAGTACCTTTAAATGTTAATAATATTTCTATTCTTGGTACTTCTGCTGGAAATTTGGAGATAAATAGTGGACTTCGAATCATTGTTCGATGGGAACGTTTTCGTTGGTTTCGTACTCGTGCTCAGGCAAATCTTTTTAGGGAATGTCTTTTGCAGTATTATGAAATTCCACCTCGTCCAAAGGAAACCTCTTTATTGCTGCTTCGACGCCCTGGTGAAAGACATTTTGATGAGAGTAAATGGTATAATTTACTTAATGTTACCTTAGCATCATGTGAGGCAACAGTAAATATGGAAACTTTTTCTTCAATGTCTTACTATAGTCAAGCATCCCTTATGCATAATAGTTCTATTTTTATAGCAGCTCATGGTGCTGGAGTTGTGAATATTATGGCCATGACTCCAGGAAGTGTTGTTGTAGAATTATTTCCACATGGTTTTCGTTATGCCATGTATGAAGAATTGGCAATTCTTTTAGGTCTTCATTACATTCCCTATGAGAGTCCAAAGGTTTGGCCTCCCAAATGTTGTAGTGTACGTTGGGAAGACCGGGCATCAAAGTTTATGCCACCACTGAAAAATGAAACTCTACCAAAAACAAGTTTTGGTGTACGTTCATGTAAGGAATGTGATATTAAAGTTTCTTTTAATGATATGACGATGATAATACGTGATGCATTAAGCCTTTTGGCTGCTCGTGAAGAAGAAGAAGTATAGTTATTGGTGATGATGAGGTGGAACCTATTCTCTTTGATTGTATTTATCTGTTTCTACACCTTTTGTTATTCTCTATGCTGTGCACAGCATTATTCTCTAAAGACCAAAAAAAAAAAAAGTTTTTCTATACATAATGATTTGGTATTGTTGTACTGTTTGGTCGTTTAACTTCTTTTTTTCCGTCCACTTTCTTGAAGACTGAGGTGAGCTCCCATTACCTTTTAATGTGTATTGTTTCTTTTTTTTCCTTTATATCTCATTCTTCTTTTTTTATACTTATTCTCTCTCTCTCTCTCTATCTATCTCTTTATTCATCTCAGATACAAACTTACTAACTCTCCTAATCACCTAACCCCCGACAGAAGTGATCATGTCCACTCTTAAGGAACTCAACGGCCGCCTCACCGCCCAGCCTTACGTGTCCGGCTTCACCCCAAGCCAAGAGGACGCGCGCATCTTCGCCGAGATGTTCGGCTCCCGCACCGCCGTGATTGAGTGGGCCGCCCGCATGGCCGCGTACTATCAAGCGGAGCGCGACGAACTCGCCGGTGCCGCATCCTCATCGAAGAAGGCCGCCGCTGCAGAAGAGGATGAAGACATTGATCTCTTTGGTGAGGTCACAGAGGAGGAAAAGGCCGCACTCGAGGCAAAGAAGAAGAAGGACGCTGATGCCAAGAAGGCCAAGAAGGTGGTCATTGCCAAGTCTTCTATTCTCTTCGACGTGAAGCCATGGGATGATACAGTCGATCTNTTATACTTGTAAGCAGAGTATTGCTGTGCACCTTGTGGTGTGTCTCACTCTGCAATTGTGTGGTTCTGGTAAATGATATCTCTTTTCTTTTTTTTTATTTTCATTCACATTATTTCTGAGCGAGGTAAAATATAATTTGTTTGTTACTATGGGGAAATTGCAAATTGTAATGGGGACAGGGAGAAACCAACACAGAGAGATTTATACATTATCCGTTATTATTAATTTTTGCTGTGTGTGGCTATCTCTGCAGTGTTACCAAATGATATTCAATTTGTTTATAATCTCTTTTCTTTTTTTTTATGGGATTGGATGGGACTTCATTTTGTTTGAATAATGGGTATTTTTCCCTAATGTGTATCTATTTCCTTTATATTCATGGTTGACTCGATATGTGTGTGGTAATAGCGGTGAACTGGTGCTTTTCTCTTTTTTCTCTCGCT